CACCCAACAAAGAGCTCCATGGGCTCTTCTGTTGGCACTCGCCTGCAGGAAGTTGTCCCGGCAGCATCCCCAGGTCCCAGCCGACTCGCTCCTTGCTTGACCCCAGCACTTGGCCTCAGCTGCAACCGGAGTGAACAGAGAGCTGTCTGCCCCTCCTGCCTGCCCCTGGACCCCCAGACACTGCCGGGCCCACCCAAACACGTGGCATCTGTTACGGGTTCAAAGAGCCGCTGTGGCAGCTCCATGCAGCCAGGCTCAGGGCTGCACACATGCCTGTGCCATGCCCCGTCTCTCTGGGGGTGCAGGAGCTGACAGCCATCCTGCCTGCAGCCCGGCAGTGCTGAGCCCCATGGGGCCGAGGATCACTCTGGATCCAGCACAAAATCCATGCCAGGGCCAGCACCCGTCCCACAGAGACGCAGCTGCTGGTTCTGAAATAATCTCGACCACTGGTTTTTGGCACCCTTGTCCGTGCTCAGGCTCAGGTCTACCCCCTCGTCACCTCCTCCTCTTATTTATAGCCTGGCAGGAGAGCAGGACACTGCAGCCCTGCGACCAGCTGCCATGCCCCGTCCCACCACCACAAGGCACCAGCATGAGGCACCACCGAGTTAACGCTTTTAATGGCCATGTTTGCTTTGGTCTAAATCCAAGGGCACTTGTGACAAGGCAACTCAGATCCCTGGGGTGCGTGCGGCCCCTGGGCTTCCCAGCTGGGGGCAGGCAGGGACCTGCCCAGGCACGGAACATCAGAAGGCAGCAGCATGGGGGAGCCCCAACCCGGCTCCCTGCTCCCCACACCCAGTGCCAGGTCTCAGGGTGTGAGTGGTACAAGGACCGCAGTGGAGCTTCATCCCTGGAAGAGGCACTAGCTTGTGGCCCTAGTGGGGCCGAGCTCCCCCGCCCCATGTCACGCTGGAGCCCAGCAGCGTGAATGTTTAATCCTGCATTAAATATTCATCCTGGTAGAGCAGGCAGAAAACCTTTGTGGTCGCCCTGGGTCCATCTGGGCAGACATTCGGAGCTGATGGGGCTCCGTGGGTCCAGTCATCCCCCCCGTGCACTGACATGGGGGGTCCCAGCCCACCCACCGGCTGGGGGAACCAGCCCTGCTGCTGCAGAGACAGAGACTCCCTGCTCCGGGGCTCGGCAAAAGGCTTTCAGCTGTGGCACCGGCAGAGCCGAGACACGCCATTGCAGGATGAGAGCTGCCCTGCCGCCAGGGTCCCCGCCACCTCACCCCTCGGCTGGGGCCCTACCCGCCTGCCCAGGATGCGTGGGTGAAGGTGATGTTCCTCCTCTTGGCCCAGCGGGAGAAGACAGCTTTCTCGGTGATGAAGCGGTGCCCATCGCGGCGGGCTTGCTCGTGCACCAGATACATCCTGCACTCGTCCAGCTGGCCCTTCTCGAAGTAGTGGTAAGGCACGCTCGAGTGGTTCTTCTCCCTGGTGGGAGGGGAGAGGGTGGGCATGGGACTTGGGGGGACACCGGACCACCCTGCGCCTGCCCCTGCCGCCCCCCGCGCACCTGCAGTAGCTGTCGCTGACCATGCCGAAGACACAGATCTGCTCGCACAGCTCCATGGCCAGGATCATGGTGAACCAGCCCGTGCTCAGGAAGGAGCCAGACTTGACCCTGCAAAGCACCGTGGCCGCGCTGGATCGGGTGGCACGGTGCTGCCGTCCCAGCTGGGCGATGGGTGCCCAACATGGGGGATGGGTGCTATGGCAGGGGGACCCGACGGGGGCTCCTCAGGAGCTGGCGGTACCTGTTCTTCCCCGTCTCGTTCTGGAAGACATCGTCGCAATAGTTCATCTTCTCCTCGGTCAGGGTGTAGATCTGCAGGCAGGGGTTCGTCTCCATCACCTTCAGCAGCGCCTGGTAGGTCGAGCCCACCTTCTTCCGGTTCATTTTCTTCGCTGGCCCCCATATGACGTAGAGGGTGTCCTGGGATTGCTGGAAGAAGTAGGGCTGGTTCCTCAGCAGCAGCGGGACGCTGGTGTGTGACACCACCCGGATGGTG